TTTAGGTATGGCTTTCTCTGGGTTCTTCAGCTCACCGGACATATTCGCTCCTGCCAGAAATCCAGTAATGGCGGGGAAGTATATGGAGAATATGGTAGAAAGCGATTCGCCTCTGAAATTTGGCAGCATGTTGTCTGAGAAGGTGGACATCTTGTAGCCGGTCATTCCACGCGCCTTCTGCGAGTCGGTCGGCTTCAGCACCGAGCCGATGTAGTAATTGGCCACTGAAGCGACGGCGACGGTCATCAGCACCAGTTGCGTCTTCGACTCGAAGTTGACACCTGTGATCACGATTATGAACAGCACGACTTCAGTAATCCAACTAAGCACGCGGACCGAATTGATGCCCCCATCGATGAACACAACGCCGTAACTCTGGAAAATAATCTGTTATACGATTTCAATGCCGAAACTCTATATACTGACCTTCAAAACTTCGTTCAGTGTTTCAGCAAAACCGCTTATTGTAATGCCGACCGCGACCGCGTTGGCCGTGGAAAATATTATTCCGATGCTACCGCCAAACTCCGGTCCCAGCGACCTCGATATTATATAATATGGACCCCCTACAAAGGTTGACATCAACTGACGGAACAGAGTATAGTTCATTTGTCAGTGCGATGCTGAATTTTACACATTACTAAATACTAATTAAGTTTAATCTTGCTTACAGGCTGAAATACTGGTTTTCGAACCGCTAATGTTGAAGTTATCATTTTATTTCATCAGAAACTTATGAATACCACACATATTTCAATTATACTGCTGTTGTCGTTGTATACATTTTGCTCACAATTTATAAATTGTTGTTGCTTTGTTTACTGCCACGTATGTTCCTTGCATTTCCTACCATTTTGATGGCGAGAAAAATAACTAGAGTTCTACATGTCGCAAAGATAGACGTTCAAGTTTTCGCTTCCTGTAAACAGCACAATTCTGTTTTTTTCTTACCTCCTTTTATTCGTCCATTGCTGCAAATTGCACATAAAGACAATGCCGTAAACAGCGCAATGATACTACTGACAATCACAATGCCAGACGCTAGCAAAATGCCAGCTTGACCTGTCACCCAGGTTAAACGTAGGTAGAAGATGACACCAAATATTGACATCGCACTTCGTACCTAATATCAGATCATTTCCAATATAATATATTACTCACAAATAGTCATACATACCAAAACTCCCTCGATCCAGCCGAACTTTTGAGGTGGTTTCATCTTCTTTGTGTCGTCTTTCCTCTCATCCTTCTCCTCTGCTTTCATCTGAAAATCTTTCATTTTATAAGTCTACGGACAATAGCCCACGCATTGTTTCTACTGCAACATTATCCACTCTCTGTTAAAACCCACCGCAAAACTCTCAGCTACTAACTATTCATTCACATACAGAAAATAAATCAAACGAATACCATGATGTTCTGGGACAGCTACCTAAAATACCAGCATTCCCATATATTCGATAAATATAATCCTGTAACTTCTAATATTTTTTACAGATTTACAGTCATGGTGGCAATTATGTTGATGCTAGAACAAGCTCTTATTCATCCCACCACATTGACGGGGTCTTGTGCCCCATGCACTGTAGATGCTTAAATAGGGTAGAGCTGTGACCTGCTTAAATTTTCCCTCTCGGCGACTAGAAGCAAGGGAGGTGCATTGCTGCAGTACAGCCGTATGTAATGACGACTATACGTCTTACACTATGATAGTGTCACTGTAAATGAAGTGAGCCTCCTTCAAAGTTTTTTCCATGTAAATCCGGTATCAGTAGTTCAAGAATTATGCAATCACATGCTTAAAATTTTAGCACAACTGTACATTGCTTCAAGTTCCTTAAACAGCATTTTCATTTCCATTTTTTGATAGTTTTGCTTGATGATAACCTTCAGTGGCCCACAATTTACAACAAGCTCAAAAAAATTGCAATTATTTAAGGCACATAGTAAATTATGAAGTCTTTGCCTGATCACACTTTACCATTATACAATTTCATCTGTTGCTAGGCCCAACGACTTACGACTTACTACCCATTTTCCCCTGACTGCATCGGAATACAGTCAGATGAGTTCGTCATTAAGAGTGAAATAGCAGTCTGTGCTAAGGACTTGTCGTCGCTCCAGCGTGTACTGTGAAACAAAGGCTTAGAACATCTTGGACATCTGAACAACCACATTCTTTAGGTTACTTCACTTTATCGTATACAGCGCTGTTCGTCAGTCTGATTCGATGGCAGCCTATCGTTTCGATTCGATAAGGCGGCAATGTCAAACAGACACTCCCACGCTTTTGATCCTACGTCGGCGTCAGTACTTCAGGAAAAGATTACCTGAATCTGGAACAGAGTCCTCTGCGACATTTGCCCAAGGTCATTCTTGATGGTTGGAGAGGGATTAGTCAAGTAGTAACTGGTTTGCATTCCTTCCTGAAGTCGTTGACAGAACGTGCCAAAATCGTTGTAGCTGTCGCTGGAGAAGCAGCCGTTGTACACCAAGCCTTTTTGAGAAGATTGTACCACGAACAGCAATGTATCAGCCATTGCCAACGACTCACGACCATACACAAGCATTAGATTGAGTTCGTCTTCTAACTCGGATTGGCACTGGTCACGCAGAACATCGCTGACCATCCTAATTCCCAAGGTATGGAACTTCTTCGTCTATTTCACTGTTGACCATTTCATCCGGACCGCAGAGGGCAGCAGAAGAAGGATGCTGCTTGTAGTTTTAGAAATGTTCATAGGCTTTAAAGGCATGTCGTACTCGTACATAGAGGTCGCCAGAGTGAGGAACAAATAAGTTTTAGAGATTGAAAATACCAGTAAAATAAAGTAGACTTCAAACAGCACACTTCTCATCTCTTCATACCATCTGGTGCACTACCCACCCTGGCTGAGCCCGATTACCTTATTCGTGTACTGCACAAACAGGCGAATGGACAGAACGCAGCCTAGAAGAACATCAGTGCAAATATTTAAAGCTATCGACTTAACACCGGACCTATGTGGCAATACCTCCGGTAGTAAACAGTAATTTACTGGGACTCAACAGCTGGCCATCTATTTAATAGTTCTAGAGGTAGGCATATAAACTTTTCCTCCTATTCAGTCAAGGCTTTTCCAGATCTATAAAACATATGTAAATCATATGCACTAAGTTCAACAGTTTCTTAACAATCTAGCATACTGCCAGGATCTAGTCGAAAGTGCTCCACCTGAGCCAGAATCCCACTGCTTATTTTGTACTTAGCAGTCAGCTATTCTGAGGTACTCTTTCCAAAAACCTAAATTTTTTTCGGGAGTTTCAATTAATTAATGCTTCGATAACCGGAGCAATCATTATGGTTCCCTTTTTGAACTGGGCAGCTATAGCATCTCTTCTGTGGTCTGTTCGTCGTAGTATGAATACGTTTTGTTTATATGGTGTTCATTGTTGATCATCCTACGGGAAATCGACCACATTTCTGATGGGAATATAGGCGGAAGTCTCTTATTTCCTATTAGAATCACGGAACCGATGCAAGTTCTTAGAACCACTCAATAAGTGGCTGCAGATCGTTCGGAAGTTGCTCGGCCAACCTGTCTTTGCTGTATCCAATGCAGATATGGATACAAACAACATTGCCATTATTATCCTCGCTTGCAATGCGAGTTCAACATCGGCGTTGTATGCTGCATCCAAATGCTGTACACCCAAACGCTTTTTTCTTGCTATAATTCAAATGGTAGAAGCAACAAGGAAGCTGAACATATGGGAATGCGTTGGTCATCGCAAGCATTGGGGAAATTCCAAAATGACAAGAAATCGTTCAATGAAATTTCGGTACCGTCGATCTTGATATCTGAAAGAGGATGTTGTATGTCACTTTCTGCCTGTCTAGCAAAAGAGCCTATACATCATGATGGATAATCTGCCAGCACCGTATAGACTTGAGGGAACAGTGGCGGTGCAGGTCGAAATGATCAATCTGTAAACCATGTTCTCCACTACCTGAAGAGCTACAGGTTACCCTGCGTCCAGGTCCACTGCCAGCAGTGGAAAACGATTCAAAGACACCTGGTTGCGGTTCATACCTTTTGTGTGATTCCGGAAGAATTGGTGTTTCTAGATTTATGAGAGCTGGTGCAGCAGCGTGCACTTCATTTCTTCTTCGTATAACGATCTTCTTAAGTGCTCGAACAATGAGCCTCTTGTCACAGTCCAACCTCGCACTCGCTTATAACATGCCTTCTTGCTGTCTTTGGCACGTCTTCGATCTTCGTCACAAGTTTTGCTACCTCAACAGCCGCCGCCGAACTATTGTGAGAATGTTCATCAATTTTTATGAAACACCTGTAACTGCCGTGTGCATCCTTGCTTTGCATCGACCCCTCTGTTCACAGCGCCAAGATTTTTTTTATTCTGTCAGCAATATTCCTGTCAAAGACGTAGCAAAGCCTCATTTGCGTAACCTCACCTCACACGTGCAATTCGTGTGCTTAATATTAAAAACAATGAAAACAAATAGCTGAACTGATCTGTCCAGTGGGTGCGCTCCAAAATAATGACCTTTCGCAGTCATAACGCGGAATCATGAAATGAAACGTAAATATTGCAAACTGAAAAATTTGACAGTAGATTGGCACTCTATCCGCAGAGATCTTTCCACTGATATGAAATAGGTTAGCATAAGTCGCGAAAACAATAGGTTTGCGCATTGCGAAATTGTACAGAACGTAATGGTTAATTTAGTGAAGTGAAATTGCGAAATTGAATTAATGAACACCCACCATCATAAGCCAAAACCGTGATTTTCGAAATTCACTTTATCGACAAACGTTTAGTACTGTGCCATTTATTAATATGTAAATAATAAGCATCTGCTGATATATACGGTCAAAGTTGCGACCG